CCAGGTACCACTTGATGGTGCTGTACTGACGTCGCTGCCACAAAACACAGGCAAACTGCGGCAGGCCTGTAGCTCATCTCACAAACTTGTCTGGTATCTTTTGCATTCTTCTGCATGCCCTTCGCTGTGGGATTCAATTCGATATTCGATTCAATATTTCGACACCCAGACTCCGGCCGGCCCAAAGGCTCTCCAGGATCCTGTGGTGCTTAGCCGCCAAAGCATGACTGAGACTTGTTAGAAAGAAGAAGAGGGGTCCCACCTTCCGCCTCTTCTGTCCAATCTGCATCATATTCCATTTCAATGTTGAAGCCCCTCACTGCCAAAGAAATGGATGCACATGGAAGCACACATGTTGTGGGGAGCTGCTGATCGGAAGAGCTGCTCAGGCCAGTGCCCACTCACAGCTCTCTCCTACTGGCAAGAGCAGAGCAATCATCAGTTTGGTTACGCAAAATCCAACCAGCCAGCAAGTCTACATAAGACACCCTCAAGAGCCCTAGACAGTATGACTACTCTGAGATCAGTAGGGTGCTTCTTCCGCAAGTTCTTGAGACACTCAACAGCATACAGCAATCTGAACAAGGCCCGGAAAACCTAAGGCAGTCTGCAAACACAAGCACTGCATAGAAAATTGTGAATTGTGAAGCTTCAATTCTGTTCTCCATGGCAGTACTCGCGCTTGTCCTCATTTAGCTGGCAAAGTGCCAGTCAAAGAAATCCCTCTAAGACATGTTCAGGCTTGCTAAAGTAGTACAGCACAGCACACAGCACCCAGTCATCAGTGAGGCGACATTAACCTGCTGCTCTCCTCCTCCTCCTCTTCCTCCTTAACTGCCCGCATTCTGAGGCCCAGGTTGCCTAGAACAAAAGTGCCACAATCACACATGCAAGCCTGCAGTGCTTGTCTGTGCTTGAATGGTCCAGCCATTACACTGGCGATTTCCAGGTCGCTGCTCCAAAGGGATAGCGTGTACGTGCTTTCCTCTGCCTCGTGTTTGTGATTGGCCTCCGCATCGTGCTTTGGAGGACTTAGGGGAAGGTCGGTGCGGCGCCTTGCAAAGTCAAACTCACAAGCTTTTACAAAATGGTTGACTTTGCAAAGAGAGAGCATCCAGCACATTGAAAGCTTTCGAACACTCAAGTTGACTTTTCCGCTGTCTGGACCTCATCTCCTCTTGGAGGTGTCGCACTGACAGCCTCGGCATGCTTCAGCTTGGCCCAAAGTTTTGGAAACTGGACGGAAGTCTGGTGCACCAACCTTGGAGTCCCCAGCCAATAGTTCCAACTCCAGCAGCATTTTGGCTTCATCTTCTGACAAGCCATGGCCTCAATATGTTCACTTTCCCATCCAGTTCTTATTGGTGTCTGGCTCTCAAATTTGGGAAAACAGGCCGGTTCCACAGTCAGTCATTCTGGAGAACGTGGAACACCGTCATCTTGAGGAACGCAAAATGCCAGCTCGAGTGCATGGTAGAGTCCATTGAAAGTAGAGTGTCAATGAGAATTTGTACGGGTTCTAATGATATTTAGCAGCGATGCCAGGAGCCCCTAGTAGCGTCCTTGTTCCTAGTCCTAGTAGCGATGCCCTTTGTTACTAGTAGCGTCCTTTTCGGTTGCACATCGCTGCGTGTAGGATGTTCTTCTATTGCTCCACAACGCACAGCATGCACAAGGGCATCTAGAGAATCTAGAATCTGTCCTATGGTTGCATGTAGGATTTCCGGAGTCTATTCAGCCTAAAAGCCTAAACAGCTGCATGTAGGGCATCTGTCGTGCCCGGCGCCCCCCTCCAGGAAGATGCAAATAAACATCAAAAACTGGACCGGTCCACTCTGAAAGGCTGCGGCTTGCAAAGGTCATTTTGCATTAGCCAAGCAAACAACGTCAACTAGGAGTAAGACCCTTTCTTTTTCGTTTCTTTCACGTCAAGACTCGTGGTAACGAACGCCTGTGCCTTGGGCAAGGTCTTGCACCTCCCAACTCTGCCTTGCCATACTTTCTTTGAGCATGGCTTCAAGGTATAGGAGTCTGAGCAAGACATCTTGCTGCCAAAAATCAATCGCAGCTTATGGAGATGATTAACATAGGGGAAGATGGTTGCTTCGGATTGAAATACTTCCTGAGACAAGCAACGGCGTTGTGAGTCTGCGCGTCTTGCTTTGTGCCCTGCTTTGCTACACTCGCTTTGCCAAGGCTCTCGGTTCGAAACTTGAGCCCATTGCTCTTCAACATGTCCTGACGAGATTCCCTGCGCAAATCACCACATGTGCACCTCAAATCGAGACAAGTCACTACAAATCACCCAGCGCACGACAAATCACTAGAAAGTCTCTGCGAATCACCAGCAACCGGTATCACCTCACCACAAATCACCAAGCATCCCAAAAGCCACTCTTCTACGTTGGAGGCCCTTCTAGGTTGGGTAAAGCGGCCTAAAAACCGCCCTTTCCAGGCCTTCCAGGCAACCTGCTGCATTGGTTCTGCCCAGTCCACTGTTGAAGTGTCCCAGCACATGGTCCATCAGAAACTGGTCACTTTGGCAAGCCGCATAGGGGACACCAAGGTTTGGACAAGCTTCCTCTCTTCAAACCAAATTTTGGCCCAAGCCAAGGACAGAAACTCGCAACCATACGGACTTTCAATGTGGGTTTAAGAAAAAGACTGACCGCTGGGGTGCTGTTTAAAGGATCTTCTTGCTCTTGGGAAAAGATGTCCAAGGAAAACCGAAACTAAAAGGCGGTGCAGGGGTGGGGCCCTTTAAAGTCTGACGTGGGAAGGGTGTTGAGGGGAGGGCGCAGCGCCTCCCCGCCAAGGAACACCCAAACCATGAAAGAACTCTGGTCTGCTAGGTGGCAGTGGCCCCTTTCTAAATGTGCTTTCTTGCTTGGCTTCTTTAAGGAAGGAAGGAAGGAAGGAAGCAAGCAAGCAAGCAAGGAAGCGAGCACAAAAGCACAAAAGCAAAAAGCCTAGAGCCCGAACCAATCCGATCTAAATGATCTAAATGTAAATCAAAAAAACACATTCTAGAACTCCGTGGGACACCGGGGACACGCTACCTCTCTTCAAACCAAAATTTTGGCCTCAGCCATCACAGCCATACGGAAGTTCAACAGGGATTCAAAAAATGACCCAAAGGCATGGGCTTGGGCACCGCCGCCGCCAACCAACTGAGTCCAACGGTCATGACGCTAGACATGTCTTTTGAGGAAAGCTTGCCGGCAAGTTTTGGAGCTCAGACCTGGAGCAAACTTACTTTCACGATCAACCTTGTTTTAAAATCTAGACTTGTCAGTCGTCAATCCCATAGGAAAAGGGAGTTTAATCCGGGATGGGACATGTTGGGATTGCAAGCTAGTCACAACTCCCCTGCCTCCGGTGGCCAGCACCATGAAACGATGAGGAAATGTTTACCAAGCATCGAGGATCAGCAAACTGATAGGCATCCGGAGACAAGAGATCGTATCAAACGAGAGGAGATCAGGAAGACAAAGGGAAAGGGTGCGGCACCATGGGGGGAAGGAGCTTCAGTAGGACAATGGCGCCAAATGAAATGACCTTTGATGGAACTGAAAGCAGGGGCTCACAGGAACGATGCAGAAGGATGGTGGGCTGGAAGGCCCGAACTGTGCCGAAACAGATTGAAAGGCTTGTCCGGAGAATGCAAGGCGGGAAAGGCGATGAACCCTGAAGCATCTGCTCAAATTGCACAATGATTCTGTTGAGTGAGCATTCATCATCCAATCGATAGAATCGACAGCACAGCCATTCCTTCCAGGAAAGCCCAATCCCGTCCTGAAAATAATCCACTGATCCGAGGCTTTGCCTCTCTACATTGTCTGGTTCCTTAGTTTCTGTTCAAATTGTGGGTTCGTAGCGAGTCATAGTGCTGCCGTTCGGTGTAGTTGAGTCTAGTCTCCACGAAGATCGCTGGAGCATCAAGGTATACAAGAAGGTCGACCAGGGGTGTAACCACTTCCTTGTCGTACCTTATCACTTAGAGCACGGTTTGTGACGTCCAACCTCGCCAACACCTGAAGAAGGTCAATGAGGCTTGGCCAAGTTGCAGAACGTCCGCTGCAACAACCAGACCTCCAAAGGCTTTGGGCCACCTACTTCGGTCTCCCCAGTCAAAGGCCGATGTGGACCTCGGAGGTTTCTGTCCAACAAACACAAGTGATCAAAGGTAAGCGGGAGCTATTTCCCATTGAAGGATATTGAAGGTGCAAATTGCAAATGTTCATGCATCTGGGCGTAGGTGTGGGGGACCTTTTACGAATGCCCGTGTGGCTCTTTGAAATAGACTCGACTGCCCCATTCGCACTGGACAAGGCGCACAATGTCATCCATGCCATTTTTGACCGCTGATTTCTGCCTCAAACGGACGTTCGTAACCCCGACTGCGCTTGAAGCAGCAGCGAATGCACAATGTGTTTCTGCCGAGGAACGCGATGTCCAAAACCTCGCCAATCAGTGCCCATCAACTGATAATTTGTTTGAAGAACAAGCCGAGACGCCAATGCATCTCTGTCTGTCAGGAGGACCTTCGGTGCACCTGACTTTGCTGCAACAAGGCCTGCAAGGTTGGACGAGCAATTGGCCTGAGACTTGCTTGCATTAAACCTTGTTGTTCACACTTGGCAGTAAGCAATGTTGAAAGTTATTCACACTCAGTCGTAACCTTCACACTCCTCTCGCTCACTCTCGCTTGCTCGGACTTTCTCTCACTCTTGCCTTATCCACTCCCACTCACTCGCGCTCACTTTGTACTGTACACTGTACTGTCATCCATGCACACCCTGACACTGAGTCTGACTATTCAATCACACTATCGACCAAACGCACTCATGATCACTCAGTTTTGGCTGAAAAATACCCACTCATTCTCGCACGGTGACATGCACACACACACTCTCTCTCTCACATCACTCTCGCGCACGCCGGCAAACGCCCCCCTCACTCATTCTGGCAATCGCTTCACTCACTCTGGCAATCGCTTCACTCACTCACTCACTCACTCACTCTCTCTCTCTCTCTCTTCTCGTCACGCACAAAAGGCACACCCTCACACAACACTTTGACTTTCACTCACTTTCACTCGCTCAGTGGCAGGTGCAGCCATCTCAGCTCGATTCACATCAGATCTCGTGGGAGGGGCGGCATGGACCCTCTTCATTCTGTTGTCGCGGTGGGCGTTGCAGGCATGGTGCTTTGGACCAATCTGGTTGCCAGTGCAGCACCATGAAGCTTACAGTAAATTGGCCGTTGGCATACCATTGTCTTTCTTAGATTCCAAACTTCTAAGGTGAGTGAGTGTTTAAAACACACCATTACAGTACAATTTGGCAATTTGAGGCAACAGGATAAGCTGCACATCTGAAACGCTTGACATCCTTCCCGCTCGCAGGGGCAGCAGCAAACACCCCAGGCGGTACCCGTAGTGGACGCACGAAACTCACCACAGCCATTAGCCTACGATTTTGGAGCGCAGAATCCCATCATATGCATTTGACAAAGGGCCTGCTAGACCCAAGCCAGCTCCAATCTCGCAAAGACCATAGGTTTGCCACAATTCCCGCCTGATCTGGGTTTCGTCAACCAGGTTCTGCTTTTTAGATGACACAAGTACAAGGCCCAATGACTTTGGCGGCTCCAGCTTAAGCAAGAAACCAGGCAAACATTTGCGCCTGATTAGCAGGGTTTCGGCTAGAGCCTGCTCTGCCGGCCTTTGCTCTGGCACAAATGGTTGTCCAAGGTTGATGTCTCAAGTTCAGTTCCATCAAAGCTGCCAAACAATATCCGAAACAGTTCCAGCTCCAGCTTCAACCATCATTGAAAAGCGCTGATAGTCCAGAACCTGAAAAGACCCCCCCAAGGATCCCCAAGGATTCTGCACGGTCCGCACCAACATGAAGGTACTTGGCCTGTGTGCAATTCTTGAGCGCGCCGGTGCAACGGTAGCATGCTGAGGTTGCAGCATAAGCAGGGACCAACAGAGGCAGTTCCATATCTCCAATCTGAAAGACCTGCTCCGCGGTCTCGCCAAGCAGAGTCTTTCTGGCTCTGTTGATCGAAGGGTCCTGCATTTTGCGACGCAGGTTTGACCTAGCGCTGAATCAAGGTATATATAACTTTGACTTTGACAAAGAAAGCTCCTTGCCAAGACGCCGTTGTCGACGCTGCTCTTGCTCACTTCTGGAAACAATGCCCCGCCCGTAGCTGCTTCCCTTCCTTGGTCAAGTTGCGCATGCTCGGCGCTCGTCAGTTTCATTGTGCGCCTCTGAAGGACATCACTGCGTTCAAGTCACTTGGCTGGCTTGAGCGACTTGAGCTTGGCAGGCTTAGCAGGAAGACCTTCGCCAAAACCCACAGCAGCCAGCTTTGGACCCACCGTGAGTGCCAAGACCTCAGCAACCCAACGGGTCGAAAAGAACAGAACAAAACAAGTTCGATTGGGGTTGAGGATCATTTGAGTGCTTGTTTGCAACACAGCTTCTCAAATCGAACTTTCTAGAAAGACTTCGCGGCAGAACTGTCTTGTAGCATTTGGGGCACAAGGAGGGGTAAGCAGCAGAACAAGGGCTGGAGGGGCAATGGGGTGGGGAAAGCAGCATGATCATTTGTATCGAAAGATTCCACCACAAGTCTGCCACAAAGCGTCCCGCAGACAGGCAGACAGGCAGGCAGGCAAACAAATAGACAGAGCACGAGCGAGAGCGAGAGCGGGAGAGAGAGAGAGAGAGACAGAGAAAGAGAGACCTGAGCCATCCAAAATGGCGAAGCTGTGAAGGAAGCATCACCACCCCATCACATTAGCAAGGCGCAATCAACGCAGGATGACTTTCGAGACCCAGGCGCAAGTTTTCGAGATCTGAAGGGAAGCAGCCAAAAACACACCACGCGCATTGCAACCGCAGCGACGTGGGTAGACTCCCAAAAGTTCCTTGCCGCTCTAATTTCGCACTACCGGTTTCAAGGCCACAGGTCCCAAAAGCTGCTTCCCGCACTACATGTGCACTACAGAATTGCCAGTTCTGAGGCCAGCTCCCAGAAGCGGCTTGCCGCCATACGTTTGCACTACAACGTTGGCAGCTTTAAGGACAGCTTGCAGAAGCTGCTCGAAAAGTTGGGCAGCCCTAGGATGGGAACGTGTCGTTGCAGCCATACATGGAGTGGAAGAGACCCCTGCAACCCCCTGCAGTTTCCACAGCCCCAAGGCCACTCCCAGAAGCTGCTTCCCGCAATGCATGCGCACTACAAATGCCAGCTCTGAGGCCACAGCTCCCAGAAGGTGCTTCCCATAGAAAATTTCACTACAAAGTTACCAGAAAGCTTCCCGCAGTACATTTGCACTACAAATTTGGCAAGGGCGGCTCCATCACACACTTTGGTAACTTCCACCTTGCTTTCCTACAACAGTTACACACTTTGGTAACTTCCACCTTGATTTTCGACGACAGCTACACAGCTACACACATTGGCAACTCGACACACACGATCTCCGCAGAGGGCTCTCATGTCGGAGCACTCAGCTCGCACAATCTCCGCAAAGGGCTCAGACTGCAGCCAAGCAAAATTCGCACTTCACCTGACATTTGAGCACTCGACGACACGCACGGTCGATCTCGGCAAAGGGCTCGCCGCCGCCAAACAAATACGCATTTCACCTCACGTTTGAGCACTCACCCCGCGCAATCTCCTCAAAGGGTTCACCAAGGCAGGAAACGATTCGCGTATTGCCCGCAGCTCCGCAGAGCTTGTGAGCATTGGCCGGGCCACCCCGCCTTGAGAGAAGATTAGAAAGATGTCGGATTTGCAGTTGCGTAGGCTCTCTTCACCTGTATCTCCACACCTGCACCTCAACACCTACATCTCAACACCTGTATCTCTACGCCGGCATCCCCACACCTGTATTCCAAGACCTGTATCTGCACAACTGTATCTCATGATGAGGATGAGGATGAGGATGATGATGATGATGATGACGATGATGGGTGGACAGTTGAAGTTGGCAGCCATTCTTTAGGGAGAACAAAATTCAGGTGCTTTCGGGAAAAATGAACACAGGATCTGGCTCAACAATGCACAGAGCACCCACATCTGAGGCTTCGACAATCCAAACCAAACATCGTAAAGGCCAAGGCCGTGGGTGCACTGCAGCACCAGACCGCAACATCTATTGAAATCCTGTCTCTACATCTGTGATATGATTGCCGCAAGCCTCGCGTGGGACTTATCTTGAGGTATATGATTATATAGTCCTAAAGCTGTTCCAAGACTCCAGGAGCGGGGCAGGTCATTATGACTGCTTGTCACGCACAAACATCCTGCTTGAGCTCGGAGAGATACTGGCAGCCGCAAACATTTACTGCAACCTGGGTATATAAACAATGTAAACAGCATCGCAAAAGCAGCGAGGTCAGTTGTATAGTGAAGGGCTTGCGTCCACATCCACGACGTTGCCTGTTTTACTCTCAGCATTGCTGCGACAGCCCCAGCGTCTCAGTGTCCGTTACACGTGTGCGTCTACCACACTGAAAGCCCCGCCAGTCGACTCTGAGCCGACTCTCCCCTTGCCCTCCCCAGGCAAATGCTGGCCAACTACACCAACTGGATGTCTAGATTAAAACAAGATGGAGCCCACGAACCCGAATGCAAACACGTTCGAAAAGCTACATATGTCCAAATGGCACTCTCGTAGGACACTCTTGTGGGACACTCTTGTGGGTCACTCTTGTAGGGACACTCTTACGGGACACTCTTGCGGGACACTCTTGTGGGACACTCTTGTGGGACACTCTTGTGGGACACTCTAGTAGGAAACTCTTGCGGGACACTCTTGTAGGACACTCTTGTGGGATACTCCTGTAGAACACTCTTGTGGGACACTCTTGTGGGACACTCTTGTAGGAAGCTCTTGTGGGACACTCTTGTGGGTCACTCTTATGGGACACTCTTGTCGGACACTCTTGTGGGACACACTTGTGGGACACTCTTGTGGGACACTCTTGTGGGACACTCATACGGGACACTCTTGTGGG